GTGGGCGGGCTGGTGCCTCTGCGTGACTGTTGGGGTGGGCGGCTGTGCTTGTTGGGGTTGGCGGGGGCCCATGGGGTGCACAGGGTGCACGGGGCCCCAGCGCCGCTCCTGGCACACCTCGGCTGGGGAAGCACGGGTGGAAATCCCCACCGGTGCTTTCCAAGGCGCTCCAGGGTGGGAGCGGGGAGCCCGGGAGCAGCCCCAGAGCCTGTGAGGGCACTGAGAGCCGAGGGAACAGCAGAGGGAGTGGAGCCCCGAATCCCCCAGCCTGGCAGGGTGGTGGGTGAGTGGGGCAGGTGATGCACCCCTGGGCATGGGCAATGCACCCCTGGGTGAAGGCGATGCACCCCTTGGGGTGGGCAATGCGCTCCTGGAAGCGGGTGATGCACCCCTGGGCACAGGCTATGTGAGCAGAGCATTGGGGGGGGGGGCCGCGCCCCCCCCCCGCCCCTCTCCACCCCAGCCTCGCTCCCCGGGGTGCCCCTCACCAGGGCTGGGGTGCCCTCCCCGCCAGCCCCATTGGCCCGGGTACGGTTTGAAGCAGGCTTGCTCTGCGGATTGGCCGGGGGACGTTTCGGGGAGGCCTCAGCAGCGGGTGGAGGCGTGGTTCCTGCCTTCAATAAGAAGCCCCGGCACGGCCGGCGCAGACAGTGCGGCACCGCACAGCCCCGTGCAGCCTTTGTCTGCTGGCGGGGCCGGGGCGTGGGCAGGGGCCAGCCACCGCCACCGCCCCTCACTCCGGCCCCTCTTTGCAGCCGACAGCACGTGAGCCCCTCGCTACCCGTGGCGGCCGCCCACCCTGCGCCCCGGTGCCAGCGCGGAGGATGCCCATCGAGGCGCTGCAAGCCGGTGACGCCATGAAGGGGGTGACGGTGACGGCACCCTTCACCTCGGCCATGCCCATCCGCATCCTCCGCAAGGGCCCCGCTTATTTCCGCCGGTGTGCCGAGCCAGGTGCCGGGAAGCCCAGCGCAGTGGAGAGGCTGGAGGCCGACAAGGCCAAGTACGTGAAGAGCCAGCGGGTCGCCAGCACCAAGCAGGAGCCAGTGAAGCCGCTGCTGCTCAAGCAGCCCCTCTTCACCCCGGGGGTGCGTCGGGCTGCGCTCACCCCCAGCCGCAGGGCACCCCTGGGGCCACGCCGTGCTGAGGCTGGCGGCCCGAAGACCTCCCTTGACCTGGAGATCCTCAACAACCTCATCAACCTCTGCGACAGCCCCTTCCCCAAGGCCGAGAGCCCGCTGGGCCGGGAGCGCAAGTGGAGGGCAGAGG